GCTGAAGCTCAAGAGGCTTGCTCTTCTTCTTGTGCTTCTTCTGAGTCTTGAGAACCTCCTTAAGGCCTGTAATCTCGTGGTGGAGGACTGAGTTTTGAACTGAGATGTGGTGGAGTGAGCGCCTGATCTTTTTCAGGTCTTCACTGCCTTTGTCCTTGGCAACTTTGCGCAACAGAGTCTCTGGTTTGAGCCAATCCTTGCCGCTGTAGACTGAAGAAGAGCTTCTGTTGCTATCGGAGCCCTCAGGGGTGGGCTTAGCAAATTGCTGGAGGATTACATTGGGTTAGAGGGGTGCTATACCTGTAGCCTCAAAGGACCTGAGTATCAACCCCTGAGTGAACATACTCGTCCACACCTTCCAGAACAGGTGGAAGAAGTTGCCCTTCTTGATAACCAACAGTCCCTGGCCATGGTGAAGGTGTGTTGTGAGCTCCTTCGAGTACACTGTTGAGAGAGGCTTGAACATCACCACATCAAGTGGCTGGAGCGTGTGGATTGAATGAGGAGGCAAGTATAGCCAAGAGTATCCTGTTCTGATCGCAGTAGTTGATGAAATCCATCGTAACGTGAGATCCATGGCCATCTAGTATCAATAGGCGGTACTTTCTTCGTGCTTTCTTCTTGGTGTAGCAATCAAACACCTGTTTGAGCCAAGCAAGAGCTACCTCATTGTTTGTCCAGCCTGAAGGTGACGAGGAAACAAACACAGAGTGTACCCCTGGCTTGATTTCCTCTACCCAGCTTGACTGTATAGTGTTGTTGGTAGACTCGTATAGGAGGCCTGGTGGCAGTGCCGATCCATCCCCACACACACATGCTATAAGCGTCACCCAGGCACGATTACCATCTTGAGTAGTTGCTATAACCTCCTTCTTCTCCCACATACGTCTACTGAAGACCTGCTTGGTCCTAGTGGTGACTCCAATCATAAAGCCCTTCTCATCCATATTGTATGTGTGCTCAGCGTCAACGTCGTATTGGGCAATTTTGGACTGCAACAGGTTGAAATAGAGCTTGTACTTGGTATACAAATTGGCGTTGTGGCGATTGCTGTCCATACCTGTTGAGTATTGAGAGATGAGATGGATCGAGTGGTTGTTGATGAAGCGGGTAACCCAGCTCTTGCTGTAAAAATAGGGTGGCAACCTCAGGATAGAACCAATGCAATCCTCTAAGGAGGCAAGGCTTTGGACACGACAGCAATATTATGAGGGGAGTGCGCTTGCTAAGCGAGCGCAAGGCCTGATGGCCCAAGCTGAAACCTGCTGAGGCCATCCGAGGCCTGACAGGGCCTCTCAATGCCTGGCTCATGAATGGCAGTTGTGACAAAGCCCTCCTTCATTGAGGGAGGTCGCCCCGACCAAAGGTGCAGGGGTTGCAAGCGCACGGGCCCCAGGCGCTTGTACACCGCACATGCTCTCAACTGCACGTGACCAATGCCAAGCGTGTGGTCCAAGCGCCTGCTACGATACCGCGACCCCTCCAAGCCTGGCGGTCTCCCCTTCCCCTCAACTCGCCCACTATTCTGTTTCCGGCAAGTAGCTACCCCACATCTCCATTATTGCATCCACTCTACCATGGCTTTGTCAAGTCCTGTCAAGGCCATCCTATGGTTGCCCTCACTTGTGGTGTATCCGTTACTGACCATGCCCTCCGCTCAGTGTCTGTCGAGCCTCTGGCTTCTAGCCAAGATCCTCCAAGGCCTCTCCAGACCTTCCCTTCTCCGCTGAACCCTGGGGCCCGTCTTCGCCATGTCTCAGACCGTCTACAACGAACAGAAGCGCCAGGCATCCAGCCGCGCTGTGGTCAACCACAATGGCTGCTATGCGTGCGTAAGCTCTGTCATAGGCTCCATCACCAGGGCTGCCGGTGGTGATCGCGCCGCGCTGACCGAGGTGGTGGTCTGCCGTCACAAGCAGGTCAAGGATCGCTCGTACTCGGCACGTGACTACCTCAACAAGCTCTGGCTGCCCAAAGGGGTTGATGTTGATGACCTGCTCCCCTGCGAGCAGTGCTCAACCATGTCCAGGCCTTGCCATCAGGTCGGTCAAGGCTTCTCAGGGTCATCCAGGCCTTACAAAGTTGCATTAACACCTTTCCAGGTTCCTGAGGACACGGTTGACGATGTTGTGGCATTTCTCGAGTTTGTCTGGGATGATGCCATCAACGCCCTTCCTACCGGCCGTCTCACAGTCAACACGATCGATATTTCTGGCTACGAGCCTGCCAAGATCGCCGCTGCCAAGGTCATGGCGGATGCCCTCCAGAGCAACATCCTCGTGTAAGTGTATCCCCCGCCCTTCCCAGGTCTCCTGATGCTGAATTTCAGTCTCCAGCATCACCAAGGGTGCCTGTCGGGGTTGTGATGCCACTCCTCTCCATGCTGGCTATGCCGACTTTGTGGATACTGGTGCTGTAGTGCCCACGGCTGAGATGGAACGCAAGCGCAAGCTCAAGGTTGTGGAGGCCAGCTCCCTCCCTTCTACTCCTCAGAAGGTCAGTCCAAGCCCTCTCAAATACGGTCGATGCCTGTTAACCCTTGCCAGGCTCCTCACACTTCCTCTTCCGCTTCTATTGCCTCTGCTGAGGCCCTGAAGGGTATTTACAACCAGCTGAACCTCCTTGCTGACCGTATCGCTGCTGGTAAACATCTCAAGAGGGGAGTTGAACAGAGAGAGTTCAGGCTTGCTTGGGATGCCGCCAACCCCGCCAACCGGTACTTCAGTGGTAGCGAGTAGGGGTGTGACGTGTTGACAAGGGGTCTCAAGGGGTCCCCAGGTTCTAATGGTTTGCGACAACTTCTGGCGTTTGGTTCTCAAGATACCCGGCTTCCAAAGCCAATTTGGGTTGGAGTTACTGCTCAGTGCCCCTCCGGGCTGTTTGAGCCTTATCAGGTCTTCTCAGGGCCCTTACGGTATGTAATCTTTTGATTCCTCACTTCATTTTTTGCCTTTGTTGTAACTTGCCTCTTTGTGATGGGTGGCTTGTTGGCCTCGGCCTGTTCTACCTTCTACTATGTGTGTCACAGCCTGTCAAGCCTTGTCAAGACATGAATGAGCAAATGGGGGTAAGGGTTAGGAAAAAAGTTGTGGATATTTTCATTTAGTATTGTGGACCAAAGCTCTAGGAGTTCAGATCTGCCCTTATCTTGTCAATAGGTGTTGTGGTTGTGGAGTTATTGTTGTTTAAAGTGCATGGGTTGGTAGTCAATAGCCCAATCAGGTAAGGCTTGTTATCCAGGCGCACTAACCCAAAACGTATTTAATCAGCAATCCAACCAACACTGCA